TGGCGGGTTTTAATGACACATTTATATATTTACGCGATCAAACCCAAAAAAGCGTCTATTATAAAATATGTTGAGTTTGTTATTGCTTGTGCTTGTGCGTCACTGCCCATGCAGTATCACTGAATAATTTGATGAACTATATAGTAATCACTTTCTGGCTACAATTATAAACATCACCATTTAATGTGGAGACCTTGGTCAATTAACTGATGCGGATGAAGACCTTTATACACCTTGTTGGTCCTGAACGTTGTTTGACCTCACTGATAAATGTGGGGTTAGGGGTGACGAGAGCAAAAGATCCAACATCCCTCGCCACTCGATTCAAGCCACGGTCAGGAATTTAACTCAGGCCGCCGGGCTCATAGCGCAATATGCTCACCATTGCACCATAGTTCCACTCCAAATTATTAACATATCAAACTGAGATTTAATCCAATGAGGAATGAGCCAGCACTTAAAGCAAGCAGAAATAAAATAGCCGATTGACGGATCGACTTACGTACAACATTCCAGCGGACAGGAATTTCTAGAAATGTGACTGCATGCAAAGGTCAACCGCGCACTCATGTACCAGATCCATCCAAATGCATATTAGAGTGCCATTGCCATGTAACCTCTCTGACACCTCTGAAAGCCAAGCCCACAAAGCACCACCCCCCCCCCCCCCACCCCCATTTAAGACAGCCGCCACTCATTATAGCCACGCTCGCACTTCTCTCTGCCCACTATGGCAAGTGACTCACAACTCTCACCTTCCGCCCATGCCTGCTGCTAAGTGCGCTGTTATTCAGCACCGGCATGACCGTGGCCCGACGACATCCACTGTGGCTGGGAACACCACGACGGCTGTTTTTCTTTCGAGGAGCGACACCGTTGCTCGTGCCAGACACGCGCACGTGCACTCGTTATTTGTCCGCGTGCCTTTCAAACCGCATTCAAGGTCGGAATCTATTTTGGTGAGATGATAGGAATGTGCCAGGCTTGCAGATGTATTTTTGACATCTTAATTTTACTACTCTCTACAGGATGAATTGCCCTTTTTTATATATATACATATGGATATGCCAAGGATTTATGAAGCCTTTATTAACTTCTTTTTGTGTTTCCTTTATTTTCCTTCGCCAGTACCTCTTATTAGCACGGTTGGTCACATACGGTGTGAAAGAAGTTCAACATACTGTACATACAGTATGGTTTCATCATTGTCGTTATCTGCTTTAACCTATCCACTGCTCGATGAAGACCTCCACAAGTCACTGCCATCCCTCACAGTCTCACAATGCAATAATCCATCGAGCGCCTGCACATGAGCATTTTGAAATTCGTTACATACAAATGGAAGAACGGTGGGATGGTGGTTAGTGCAGTGCTTTATGAATCTGATACCTGAGTTTGACACCCCACCACAGCTAACATCAGAGGTGAGTTTTCGTCTGAACCACTTTTGTCTGTCCTCACTTTACCAACATGCACTGACCAGCAAAGCGAAGTATGGTAAATAAATACCCCTATGACCAACACGGTGTACAAAGTCTTTCATCAAGGAGTGCATTAGAACGTCCTAAATCATCATTATTGTTATTACCATATACACAAATGGTATTGTAAGGGAATGGGGATAGGGAAAATATAAATGTGCATGCCACGGTTTACTCAAAATAACTTTAGTTGGTCAGAGTTTCCAATCCACAAGTAGACTGAACAAATGGCTCAACATTGTCTCGGAGGGCCACGCATGGAATTCGATGGGCCACCCACTGTGAATGTTACTGGGCTCTTTGGCCGCTCTGTAGCCCAATAAGGCATCCACGATGCTTTTGGGGGGAAATTTCCATTTTGGCACGAAAACCCAAATAACGTTCACCAAGCGCTGAAGTGCAACTCAAAGGCGCAACTTTTCTTCAAAGCTTCAAATACACTGCAAGTCAATGTGTCCAAACGCAAACGAGCATCTTCATTGGCCCCCCGGCACTCATCTTCGTTGACACTGTGCCAGTAATGAAAAATGCACATTTTCATCATCATCATCACCACCAAACACGGTGGCATGAAGCCCTTCACAAGTCACCATTACCCACATTCCCCGGCGCAACAATTCGTGTAATAGCTGCACACGAGCTGATTTAGTTGTTTCTATCTCCACTAAAGGTGTGCTCTCGGTCGAATTTTCCCTCCATTGGCTGCCACTGTTGCGAGTCTCGACCACTCGCCACGTTGCGAGAAAGAGCACAGAGAGAGAGAGCAAGCTATCACGGGACGTGTAGAGAATTTCGACTGCTTGTGCTATGTTGATTGGTTCAGCGCAGGTCATCTGTACAGAACAGCCCCACTTCAAACACCAATGCGCCACGTTCCTACACTTATCTCACTCAAGACGGCACTGCAAGTCACACACACTCAGATAACGACAAATTATTATCCTCCCGACATTAGTTCTGCGGAAACTTTTCATAATTGGCCCAAGCTGCATCGTGTCATTTGACAACAAAGCATAGGAATATGCGTTTCCAAACTAATGGTCGGCTTATATAATTAAAGGTCAATGCAATTTTATAAATACATGAGTAAATGCACCAATCTGTTGGACTTTAGGCTTTGGACTCATTGATATCAAGTCCAAGTGTAAGTCAACTATAATTGCACCTCTTACATAAAGCATGAGTGGAATGGTGGCGCAGTGGTTGGCAAGCTAAGCTAAACATGCTGCGACCCGAGTTAGATTCCTGGCCACGGCTAAAGAACATAAATTGAAAGTGATATCAGAACCAGTCCTGGCCTCTCCCCCTTCACCACACTGTCCAGTGAAAGAACCAAGAATAGGAATCCCTGCAATCACGAAAGCTTTAAATCTAAATTTGGTTCAAAGCACTTCAAGACCTCAACACCACAGAGGAAAACTTAGTGGAGAATAAATGGGACATCAAGAAAGCCAACAAAGAGGCAAGCGAGAAAATTATAGGTTACAAAAATAACTCAAAGCCATGGTTATTGGACTCCATTTGGAATTTAATCAAAGAAAGATCGAAAGCAAAAGGAAACCTGCCCAACACTCAATCTGCTCGGTTAAAGGAAAATAGGAAAATTGCATACAAATCATTGGACAAAGTAGTCACAAAGAAAGCAAGAGCTGATAACAGAGCTTACCTTGAAAACAAAGCTAAACTTGCTGAAGAGGCAGTGGCTGTAGGGTAAATAAGCAGTCTACAAAATCACAAAATAACTTTGTGGAACAATAAGTAAAACTCCACCAGTCAAAGCAAACTAATGCAAGACCATGGCCACTCAGAAAGACCAGGCAGAAAGATCGGCTGAGCATTTTAAAACCGTCTAAAAACATACCTTAACCAATTTCTTCATTACAAGATGTCACATATGGCACACCACTACAGATTGATTCAGACCCCTCCCCCCCAACTAAAGAAGAAGTCAGCAAAGCCATATCCACAATGACATCCATGCTGAGGTGCTCAAAGCAGATTCAGAGACTGCGGCAAATGTACTTACAGACCTGTTCCAAAGCATCTGGGAGAGGAACAGCATTCCCAAGGACTGGGCGAAAGGCCTAATCGTGAGACTCTCAAACAAGGGAGAGCTTGGAAACTGCGACAACTGGCGAGGAATTACAGTCCTTTCGCTTCCTAGCAAGGTCTTTTACAAATCCAGTTCAACAGGATTAAGTGTCCTTGACCAGACCCTGCAGAAATAGCAAGCTGGCTTTAGAAAAACGAGAGGCTGCATGGACCACATTCACTCTACGCAATATCAATTTCATTGATTTAAAGAAAGCTTTCTATCGAAGTTATTTCAAAGATCCTACCGACAAATGGCATCCCACTAAAACTCATTGAGCTGATGAAGAGCTTCTATGAAGAATGTGTATGTGCCAGCCTGGTCAACAACACGACCTCAGACCGGTTCCCCGTCACGTCAGGGGTTACCCCCAAGGATGCATCCTTTTCACCGATGATCTTCCTAGTTGTGATCGACTGGGTTACGAGATGCACCACGAGAGACTTCCCAAGGGGAATCCAGTGGACCCTTTTTCTCAGTGCTCGAAGATCTTGTTGATTTCGCAAGATGACTTCGCTCTCTTCTCAACAAACCCGTACACAGGAGAAAACAACTCGGCTGAGCCAGTTTGCTGACCAACTAGGCCTGCAGATAAATGTAGAAGAGTTTAAATTTAACACAACAACAAATACAGCAATCAAGGGAAACCCACTGAAACAGGTTGAACGTTTTACATACCTTGGCACTGTGATAAGCAAAGAAAACTCCACCTCAAAAAGACATCAAGTCCAGACTAAACAAGGCAAGACGCACCTTCTTCCAACTGAGAAACATCTGGAAGTCTGGCCAATACAGTTTAAAGACAAAGGTATGAATCCATAACAGCTCCGTAAAATCAGTACTGCTATACGATAGTGAAAGCTAGAAAACCACCAAGATAGACATGAACTCCCTATCAACCTTCCACAACATGCTGGGGAAAATCTGTCGAATCTTCTGGCTAAACAAGATTTCAAACCGGGTCCTGTATATTGAAACCAATTCAAGAGGTGTAACGCTGGGACATGTGCTTAGAATGGAACCCGAATCCATAGCGAAAACTGCCTTAAGGCAGACACCACGGGGCAGGCCGAATGGCGACGCAGCATTCAAGACCAACTAAAGACCATGGTTCTGTCTTGGGGTCAAGCAGAGGAAGTGTCTAAAGACCGTCCGGCATGGTGTGGGCTTGTTGCGGCCTTATGCTCTATCGGGAGCGAAAAGGATTAAGTCACGTTAAAAAAAAGTATGATCGCCAAGGAATGGAACGTGTCAGAGAGTACCTCTACTAAGGAGATGGAGCAATGAAATCAGTTCGTGTAGACGTTCACATCGCAGGAAACGTGGAAGGTCGCAGTGGCTTGGGCATATCTTCATCCAGCAGTGGATTAATCACGGCTGATGACTTCACCATTACACATCCAAAACAATACATATATTGCCCAAAGTAATTTTCAAGTTTGGCAAGTTTATTAAAATCGAGGACACAACACAAACCATTACCGTTTCAGCATTGGAAATAACTGAGTACCTTTTACTAAATACTAAACCCATAAGAAAAAGTAAGTTCAAATCGGCTCGACTTGACACCATGTTCAACTTAAGCTTGAGTTCAGACTGGGTAAAAGTAGTACCCCTTTAAAATCACAACAGCAGAAAAACGAAATTCGTTCAATTAAACATGTTCTTTAGCAATTAAGAATACATTTAAAACTGGCAAGAGTTATAATTCTGACGCATGCGAACTATTACAGAGTTTATTGCAGTTAGCAGCTCGGCATAGGTCTGATGGAGTGGCATAAGATGCATTAAGATTATTTCAGAGAGCAGTATCACTTAGCACATAGGCCATTATAAAAAAAATCTCGATAATTTTACATTCAGCATAGTGGTTGAATTTACATCAATCTAAAAAACATGTATAAACATACCAAAAGTTGTTTATTTAAACTGCATTAACGATTTACGGTTCATTAACCATCCCATCAAACTGCACACCATTGCATTAATGTGAAATTACGTTAAACGTTCACTAAAAGTTTAAAAGGACCGATCACATTAATAATTTCTCCAAGTGGAAATACCTTGAGTTGGAGTGTTGGAGTGTTGGCGCAGTGGGTAGCGCAATGTGCTAATAACCCAGTGACCTAACTTTGATTCACAGTCACGGCTTAATTCAGTGGCGAGTTATATCTGGAATGGTTAGGGCCTCCTAACCCCTATCCCCTCATCCAGCACTGCTCAGGGTAGTGAAGTATGGTCTAATAACCCCCCCCCCCATAATCGACACGGCATGGGAAGGTCTTCATCCAGCAGCGGATTGACAAACGTCTGTCAATTATTACGAAAGGAAAACTCACATTTTGTGCGTGCTAATTTTCTGCAAAAAGGGCAACTTTTTTTATTTTCTATTAGATTCCACAACACCGTGCATTCATGAGGAAAAAACATGCAACATGAAAACATTAGCTTATTAAAACTATACACGCAGAAGTTGGTCAAGTGAAGAGGTTAGCTACACCTAGAATATGTGCAAGATGTGTAAACCGCCACATTTAAAAAAATGTTGGCCTCGTGCTTTGTGGCTTAAGAAAATACCCTTATGATTACACAATGCGGTGATACTGCATTGACAGTGTTACAAAAAGACAATTAACATAACATTTACACATTCGACAATAACACTGTGGCATTAAAAGGCAAAGATCTAACGCGGAACGATTTGGCCATAAGAGTTGGGAGACTGCATTTGACAGTATGGGGACTCATAATTAGAGTGTTCTTTAACAGTTTCATTTATTAAAATGTGAACTGTTAATTCCTTGATATGGAACACTTACTTTGCAAGGTTGTCCAGTGACAGTGCAAACGAATCCAACACAAAGTTAAAACAAAACTTACAACTACTAAAATTTGGTCGAAACTGAATGTGTCTAATTTGTTATTTAAAAACTAAAATAAAGATTTTGTAACACTGATACCAACCGAGATCAACAGATAGTTTATGCTTACAAAATAAAGATTTTGAGTAGAATAGAGACCCACAAAACATCAGTATGAAATGTTTTCATACGCCTGAAAATTCCACCTGCTTACACAGTGAATAACTGTTAAAGACCCCTCGTCTACATTTTTTTGCTGGAAATGGTCAAGGAAAGCATTCCCATTTTGCAGAGGAAGCAGATACATCTCTTGCCACAAGAAAAACACAGATGCATTCTACACCGAGGCTATGCCAGATAACCAAACCAACTTGAACTTTATACCGAGCCTTCCTATTCAACGAATCCTCGCTTTTCGGGGGTAGAAATTAAATATTTTTGCATGCAGTGCATTGTGGCAACTCTGGCATCTGCATGTGGTCGCGTATACAACGTTGCAGTAACTGAAATTTTGATCACATACAAAACGATCCCGCAATGTGTATCGCGATTCGATGGATCCGTTTTTTTTTTTACGAATATGCCATCACACCCGACTTTACACACGCTTAAGCTGAAGCCGAGCAGTGGCTATTGAATTTAAGGTGGGTCAACGCCAGAGCGATAATAGGTTGCGCAATAAAATCGCGCAACTTACAACACCCGCTTCTGCAGAGTCGTCCACGTGTAAAGTAAATGCGCTTGCAAGAAGCCGCGTGGCGCAAATGACCGCGCGGGTGTTCACCCGCCGTTACACTCGCATCACCGGATGAACGGGGCACTCTCAGAAGGGAACGAAGACACGAGTGCGGGGCATTCGTGGAGCATTGCCCCGGGGGATTGCGCCCTCAAGTTCCACACGGGACAGTGTTCAAAGCCCTGTGGACAAGCGCACGTCTCTAAACGAGCGGGCATCTTCAATCACACACCGGAATCGTCTTCATTTGCGCACCGCTCACCGGCGGTGATGTTGAGGGACTCGGCATTGTTGATCCGAATATCCGTGATATCAGTGATTTTTCTCTCAAGCCCCCCCCCCCCCCCCACGCCCGCAATCCGCAGATAATGGAACTAACTTGCTGCGGCTATACACTTACCATACGAAATTTTTTGTTTAAGTTTTGCTGGCTGGTTGGCTGGCTGGCGCGCAGGCGGGCAAGTGCGCGCGGGGATGACGTAACCTGCATCCCACAGCGTTGAAGCGGGTACGTGGGTTGAGCTGACATTACGCCCACCCCCCTCCACCCTGGCCCGTGTATTCCAAACAAAATACGTGGGCAGTGCTAAGGCTGTGAAGAGAACTACAAATAGACAGCCACTCCTCAATGCAGATGTAAAAAAAATGGGAACAATCGAAGCACGGATTATAGATCAGGGAACCTGCCCAAGTCCAATAGGTCATAGGGCAATCCTCCTTTTAGGGGTGTTTCGGGGATATTTGTATGCCTGTCAAATGGGTTTCAAGAAGCAGAGAATAATAATTTGTTCAACACGAGTCACAGGTAATAACGACTGTGGGCCAGAGGAGTTCTACTAGAATGCTACTTTTACGCAGCATACAATTTGTGTTTGTTTGTTACATTGAACACCCGATGAAGTCACCGAGCTGCAGAGAGGTCACCAGATTAGCGAGGCTGAGCAGAAGTCACCTTACACGTGTCAGTGAAAGGGCCGCGTACGATAAAATGTGCAAGAATCAGATCGGCTATTTACACAAGCACTCCCACACGGTCCATCTTAATAACCACCGGCCACACTCTTCTCCACGTTTGCAGTAAATGACGTGGCGCTAAACTAATGAAGTGCATTCGTCGTGGAATCGGCTTCACTCCCTTGATGCAACCCAGTACCCCGATGAATGGGTTATGAAGGCTGTTAAATCTTTGGACGCGTTTTTTCTTCTTACAATACACCCCCAGCAGTAAAATTGGTGCAATGTGGCAAGATAATGACTTAAAGCGATTAATTTTTTTTTTATAATTCTCTGATTCTTGATACCCATCTGACCAACATTGCCGAAGCGCCCTAAAAGGAGAACGGACCCATGATTGCAGTGATGTGAATTATGGGTATATGACACTCAAATGAAACATCGCTTTTGTTTAGATTTGAAGTTTTCGTGACTGCAGGGATCCACACTCGGTAAAGTCACGTAGGTAGAGATAATTTATTTTATGCCTACGTGACTTTATCGAAAGAACCAAAGAGTATCGTTTTTGCTATCTCTTACTTTATCTGTCATTTAACCAGGTGCTCGACAAACATAGGTGGACCCGAAACTGACACAATGTGTATTGCACTTTGATATGATCGAATGTGAAAAAAAAACCGTGTTCAACTGCACAGACATGAAATATTAAACCGCTTACAAAATGAATGCACACGAAGATCATCGGGGTCTTGGAGCCACCGGCACAATGGGAAAGCAAGCAGTAGGACATGAGGTCCGGCAAATAAACCAATTCTACAAGTTCAGAGCTAAACGAGGTAGCCACGGTCTTCCTGCAGTGCGGGTGGCCATTGGGTTGAATAATTATCCATCGCAGGCAGCAGCCTTAACAGAGACAGTCGAGACCAACTAATAAGGGATTGTACCCGTAAATATTACATTTTATACACAGGGATTATCCCGTGATGTTAAGGTTTCCAGTTTTATCTCTTGGCATGGCAGTTGAACTGATGAAGCGTCTTAAATCCTCCTCTTCTGCCCACCCAGCAGTATAAAAAGAGTACACCCTAGTCAGTTGATCGGCAGGTCACATGTGTTGCAGAGTAACATGTGGGTACCGACTCGCACCTCTTACAAGACGTCTGGCCAGCATGAAAGTGGAGGCCAAACACCCTCTTAGAGGGCATCTCTTGAGCTCCTTCTCGCGAAGGCAATTCTGCTAGCAGTGGAGTGTGCAAGATACTTCTCGGCTGCACTTTAAAATGTTTACCTGTGAGCTTGCTTTGTAAATAAAAATGTACTGCCAGTGTCAAGCAAAACAATGCAACGTTCTTTAAGTCTATCAAGTTTCAAGGTGTGCGATGAAGGTTGTGGTTGAGAGGTTTTGGTCAACGCCTTTATCCATCACTCCAATTTGCAGTAAATAATAACCCATGCAGTAGAATGCAGGGAAAGAACCCACTCAAAACTACACACAAATCAGTATCATGCTTGCCATCGTGCATCGGATATAATAAAAAAAATCGTGAATATTTTTTTGCATGCAAACTATGAAAAAAATGCATAATTATCACTGACATTGCTTTGTTTAAATTCAGTAGTTAGGCAAAGTGGTTGAATCTTGACGACCGATGGACGGTGACTTAACACCTCCTTAATCTGGGATCGGCTCATATTCGGATACATTCTGCAAAAGACAAGTGACACAGAGGTGGGGTGTAAGTTAATTAATTCACAGCTGATTTTGGTCATCTAAAAATTGACACTGCCTCCCCTACCATGCAGTAGTAACATCTCGAGGGTCCCTGCGGCAAGAGACACCCAGCAGCAGCTGAGGCACAAGGGGAACTCGGCGTCGGCCAGCAAGTGGGTATTCCTTTTCCAGTAGACTTCGGCATTCATGGCCTACTCTTTTTCGATCTTTAACATCCCAGCTGTAAAGAATCAAGTTCAACGTAATTTTTTTTAATCTAGCAAAAACGCAAGAGACCAGGTTAAGTCTCATTTGCAAGCACGAGTTGGAATGCGTAACGAAAGATTAAGGAAGACATCTCTAAATATTCTACTCAGCAGATAGCACAATACGACAATTAAGAATGTTATCATACTCCGTCCTTTACCCTCCAACTGGACCAGCGAATTTCTTTCCGTCATCAAGCCACTTTTATTACTGCCCGCTAACCCCCCCCCCCAACCCTGCCCCCGTTTTAACGCTTCGTGTCAAGGTAAGGGGTTGAGGTTAGACAGTGTGCAATATGTGATGACAAAGATCACGTCTGGGCCAAGTGAGAATTTGCACTCTTGAGTCGTGGAGCTACCTGGCCCTTCCTGCTCCAAGCGCGGTAAAGCAGGCCGGTGGCGACGAGCGCGAGCACGATGGAAAGGGCCAGGAGGACGTAATGCAGGTTGCTCAGCAGGTGCACCTCCAGAATCTGGCTTCTCAGCTGCGCTGCCGAGTCGTCCTTAATCAGAGCGCTCTGCGTCGAGGTGGGGAGGGGTGTGGGGAAAAGGCACGCGGGGGCATTGAAGGGCAAAATGCAAAAGGTGGGAGTGCCCACACTTTACCCCACCACGCACAACAACTTGCCGATCGACCAACCAGTAAAACTGCTTGGTGGTCAAACGAACACTTGTTTGTAGAACCAATGAGTTCCATTAATACATCTTTACAAAATCAAAGTGGATTAAGTGTGCAGCGGGGCTCATCTCCCGTTTACAGGCGGTGGTGAAAATTCCACATTCCCATGGCAGGAGACAGTCTTTCCATTTACCAACCACTGTTGACTTTCATGGAGTGATACTCATGTTATTAACCATTGTAGCATGAAGCACAAAGTCGATCTCCAAGCAAAACATTTAACTCGCAACCTTTTGATTGCAATCCACGCACTCTATCAATGTGGTACCCAGACACACGTTTCTATAACACAGATTGCAACATTCGACCAGGGATATCTCACCTCATTTATGAAGACAACAGGGAACAGAAGGGTCCTCACATTACCAGTTTGCCTGCAGGAAAATTTTTTAATGCAAACAAGTCAACAATACCAACAGCAGGACTGCTAAAAGAATTCCCCTACATGCATTTACTTTTGCATTCTCAATCGTCACGTTCACTAAAACATTCCAATTTGTCGCTCATTCCAGTGTCCACCCAAGCCCATACGAAAACTGATGGATGCCCCCCCCAATTACACAAGTGATGAGAACCACAGCTGCTACCAATTGGTGAAGCGTACGTGCGTATGTGGGCAATTCAAACATTGTTCTACTGATCGGACATTTCAACACAATGACACCAGATACAGCAGCAGGCACAATTAGGAACCCAACTGAAAATGACGGGACGTGCCATTGCCAAATGTAAAGGCCAATTAAATGAGACTGCAATGAGGACGGGTCAACCTTGAAGCAGCAGCACTGCCAAACTGTCTGTAAGAGTCACAACGTTGATTATAAGTCGTTTGCGAATTGACTTTCGGGAAGTTCTGGGCAAGACTCTAAACGTCACGCGGAAAGTTCAGTCTTCCGTGGTGTGAATCGGCAGTCATACGTTTCCCTCCCCTACAAAGGGTCCCATTAATCTAACTTGGCCGAGAGAGAATCTGGTTTAAACTATTGAACTCGGAAAACGGGGAATCGCCCATGAAAAGAGACGCATGGAAATCGATTACTTATACGAGTCATCGTGGGTGAAAAGTCAGTCGTGTACGTACAGAATGTTGGGAGCCCTTTGCACATGGACATTTATTTGGACTTTCTTCTCTGCCCTCAGAGGGAATCCTGTAACCTACAGAACAGAAAAGCGTGCAAATGTCAGTGGGGGGGGGGTGGAAACGAAATCACCAGTGAGACTGTAACCAATACCTCTTGTGCCTGCATTAAACACAGGTCCAAAACAAACAAACAAACTAACCCTTGTGGTCGATGCCAACACCAAGCAAACAACACCAAACTTTGAACACGTTGCTCAGAATTGTTAACCTCCTTTATGATGAGGCTGGGAGGGTTAAGCTGTATTCGTTGAGCGAATTTACCTGCCAACTCTGCACAACCTGCAATTGCCATTTAAAATTGCCGACTTTGCACAAGTGCATCTTCTTGATATCGTTTACACACGGGCAGTGCAAATACCAGTTAGTGCAAACAGAGATAACTTCCCCAAATAGGACGTCATTGTTAACGAAACCTCTTGTGGTCCCCTTGGTCATTTGGTCAAGGCATCTCCTTCCAGTGCCGTCTCGGCTTCTCTCTGGCCAGCGCTGCTCCATTGAACCGAGGTGGTTTCTACCCCGTCCAGCGTTTGATGTTTGACGTCCAAGCAGATCACGGCGTACTTCTTTCCCAAGCACCTTCGAGCGTCACCTCCATCACTCTGATTCAGCAACTGGTCGCCATTCATCCTGGTGGTCGTGTGTCCGACATTATAATTTCAGCTCGTGGCACGCAACAGTATTTGTTCACTCAAAGAGAGAATGACTTCCGAGGCATGAAAGACTACAGGCAAGTGGGAAGGCAGCCAGCAACGCAAATACTGTATTGTGCAGTTTTGAGTGCCAAGTGTATTTATGATTAATCTATGAGTCAAAGGCTATGTTAAGATGTTATATATATAAAAACTCCTGAATGTCTAAACATTGACGGAATAAGTTTCTGCTGTTTGTCGCATTTTGTTATGGTTATCGTCAAGATGCAGATATAAAAAAAGCCACAACAACTTTTTAAAAGGGGTGATAATAATGTGCAAGCCATTTGTAAATCTATGTCCATACTTCACCACTCTGGACAATGCGGGTTTTTGAATAGTTTGTAAGAAGCAGAAATAATTGCACTTGGGTAGGGCCCGGTTGCAGCCATCATTCGCCACTGATGTTAGCCGTGACGAGGAATCGGAATGCAGGTCGCTGGGTTCATAAGCCGGCGCCAACAATCGCTCAAGCTCTGCAGTCCCCTATATGTTAAACTATTTTTTAGTCAGTTGGGAGGAAACCTGAGCGCCCGAAGTAGAACCCACGCATGCGTGGGGGAAAATACCCCATCCCATATGGATTAAACAACACTTTAATAGGGATTACCGGTTGCTACGGCTATTTTAGTACACACACAATCGACAGGAAGTACAAGAATGGGCTCGCATAATGCGCATGCACAATGCACATCGATTACCATATCAATATCTCAAACGGCAATGGATGCCCATTGTCATTTATTCAATAATCCCCCCCCCCTCCGAAAGAAGGGCACACAAGTGTTGTCATCACATCTACCCCTCTATTTAAGGAATGAAACAGGAGGACTTCTCCACAAATCTGGCTGTTGCCTGATGAAGCTAGTTGTAATTACTGGCGAAACGTTGTACTCAGATTGCAAATGTTGTGGCTTGGCTCTCCAACACACCGGTGTGCTGTACTAGTAACAAATTGGCAGGTTCTGTCTACGTGACAAACCTTATGAATTGGCTGTGTCGGTGGTGGGGGGTTTAACGACATATTTATATATTTACCCGATCTAACCCAAAAAACCTGTATTATGGATGAATGAAACAAATGGAAGTCCATATTTTTTGCTGTACTGCATTCTCCTGGCAAACCAGGGTATGGCATCTGCTCGATGCCCATAGGATCAGCATGATTGGCTATGTACGGTGCGAAAGAAGATCAACATACGAACATACAAGGGTGCTTCACAACATTTGTTCGATCCACCAAACATCAATTCACCATATTCTTGGTTCTTTCGGTAAAGTCACGTTGAAGGGAAACAATAAAATAAAATATATAAAACAATAAAATTCTCAGGACGTTTCGACTGCAACACAAGCAGTCATCATCAGGCGTGATGATGACTGCTTGCGTTGGTTTTTCACACCTGATGACTGCTTGCGTTGGTTTTTCACACCTGATGACTGCTTGTGTTGCAGTCGAAACGTCGTGAGAATTTTGTTTTATATATATTTTATTACTTTATTGTTTCCCTTCAACGTGACTTTACCGAAAGAACCAAGAATATGAATATCAATTCACCAGTCCTGGATTTCGGGCATACACCATCACCACCCGAAATATTGCAGGTTCCTGTACTTCACCTTACTTAAGAGTCCAGATATTTATCGAGCATACAGTACTGCCTTTTAAGCTGGAGTCGTGGTGCAGTGGATGTGCACTGCACTATGAACCCAGGAGACCTGCGTTCCGATTCCTAGTCACAGATATCATCAGTGGCGAATGATGGCTGCAACAAACCTAAGTGCAGTTACTATTGCTCTTAACAAAATATTTTAAAACCCACATTTTCGAGCGTGGTGAAGTATGGACATAGGTTTACAAACGGCTGCAAATTATTATCACCTCCTTTTAAAAATCTGTTATGGCTTTTAAAAAAATATCTGCATCTTGATGATGACATAAAAAATGCGACGAACATCAGAAAATGATTCCATCAATGTTTAAATATTCAGGAGTTTTTTTTCTTCCCCATAACATCTTAACACAGCCTCGGGCTCGAAGATTAATCATAAATACACTTGGGACTCAAAATTGCACACCACAGTATTTGCATTGAAGTCATAAGCAGTAAACAACACTTGTCGATAAACTTCCTTATACTCTTCATATATACTTCCTTATTGTGTGTTGTCAGAGGATTATGAGGGATCGATCAGCAGTTACTTGGGAACCATAAATGACTGTTACCCAAGTTAACTGGGGACTGTGCTTCACTGCCTGTAACAACACTCACGGACTGCACCTGCTGCCAATAATCACCCCACAGTTCCGGAGAACTACCTTCTCCTGAATTCACGTTTGGCTCCAAACACAACGCATATGAATAGAGTTAATATATCACGAAAAGTTGTGCAGTGTAACGTCACATATCCACCCTTATGAGGAAGCCAATGGAGCTATGCACTTTTTAATCCAAATCTAAAACTCATTTCTTTCAAAGGCAGCTGCATTTTGTAAACTAAAGTCCTCATCAAAAATGGTCATTCATCCTTAAAGGTTTTACGGCCGGGGATATCAAGGATCATGGTCAGAAAAATAGAAATCTTACGTGGAATTCTCTTTGCGTAACTATGCTAATGTCCATCAACCAATTGTGCCGCTAAAATGGTTTGCAGTGTATGGCACAATTATAGTTTCTGGCAGGGCTGGGGGTCCAGGACTGGGCCCTGCACCACCACCAAATGTCCCTTTGGCACCACCCAAGTTAACTCTCCTCAGCAGTACATCACTCTTACGGTGAGCCCCACCCCCCAACACTATACCTCTGCTGCCCCCCCCCCCCCAGTCCAAGAGGAGCTGGAGCCGGGCCTGGTTTTTAGGTGTCAAGGAGGAAGCAAGACAAACACTAAACAACACGACAAAAAAAACACACCAAGGCAGATTTTTGTCGACCTCAGCATCAGATACCCGGAGCCATCGTGACCTTACAATCGTGAGACATACAACGCATTCTGTAAAAGGTCAAAACTCCACTCAAGTTCACACAGGCAGTGGGCCATGCCTCAAATAATGCGAATGATTACGTAATAGAGCATAACAAGCAAATGTATCTTAAAACTGTTGTTTTTTCACTTCCTTATCTTGTTTGTGAGCCATTATCTAGGGCAATTCGGTTGAACGAGCAAACGATCTTCAGGCAAGTGACATTAAACGCACAAATATTGCTGCAATTATTTAGGCAATAGCCGCATTGTCACCTACTTCACTTTAATGACGTGGAAATAAAAAAAAACTATGGATTGCTCCACGTTGTCCCAGACATGTCGACCTTCTGCGTGACTCTGCTTATGTAATCCATGCACGTTTAATTTAATTCATGGCTGCAAAAGAGGCCGATCAAAGTTGAGAGGGTGGTGTTTATGGAGAGTCTGCCAATACATTTCTATCTATACCAGACCAGATATAGAGTCTGTCTATATTTTTTGGAAAGGTCACCAAAATATATATTATTGGATTATAATAATCACGTTTAGTGCACAGCAGTTGCATTTGTTTCAAAGCACAGTTTCTAAGCACAGGCCCAAAGGTCCAAGATGCCAGGAGGCCAGCAACAAACGCCACTCATGAAGGTGTACTATATTATGGAGTAATCCGTTTCTCGAATTAAGAAATGTTACAAGAACGTGGAAAAAGAGACAATGGGAAGGCATTGCAAAGTCCAGAGCCTGAACGGTTCATTGGCAATGTGACTCAGGTACATTTTTAAGAAAATGGTGCCGGTCGCATTTATATTTCCAGGCGATATGTTCCCTTTACAGAACTGGCAGCTCCCCCTTGTGAATTAAATTTTGCCCTCGCGAATCCTCCCGTCTCGGCGGCGACCAAAGCAACGCAAGAAATCCTCCGTCTCGGCGTCGCGCAGGTGACGAGCAGCCGCCCGCCGACCTGGGCAGAGGCGGCCGGCTGCTTAGGAAGGCCTAGAGGGGAAGTGTACCCTGCCCCCCGCCCGCGCTGAAAAGAGCGGTCGCCACGTGCACACCCGGGCCTCGCGTGTGAACGTGCGGCGCGCGTCAGACGCCGCCCCACTGACACGTCAGATAGGCACTGCCCACCCCCTAAATGGCAAACACCTTGGGCCAGAGTCCCTCGGACTAATCTCACGGTTGGAATCGACGCGCCGAGTTGCGAGTGTGGCTGGCTACGGGTTTTTATCTTTGACGCAGACAATCGACACTTTTTCAATAACAAAGGCAAACGATTCAATCTGAAGACGGACGCTTGTGTTGCGACCGAAACGTCATGTTTTCTTTCATTATATTTACAATCTACGTGACTTTACCAAAAGAACCAGAGAGTATGGATTCCTGCAGTCACGAAAGCTTCAAATCAAGATTGATGCAATCTAACTTTTGTTCTGCACAAAAGAGGGGAGAAAAGTGATAAGCTAACCAAGGATCAAAGAATATTTGTCATAGATTTTTTGAGTATTTGACCGCCATATATTTCCACGTGACAAGCTACTTCGTTGAGCTTTCATTTGTGGCCAGGTCGCTGCTGAAACAAAGCTATATAGCTCTGTGGGCATCACCTGGTAAAATAAAAAATAGTTTAGTTTAATGTATGTTAAGAATGGTGGTCTTCAGAGCAAATATTCATGGTGTGTCAAGGATATGCATGTCTCAGGAACCGGTGTTTTTGCTTTGTCACGATGTATTGACATTAGGCACGGCCTCCCAATACTCTTCTGACATTGTATTCATTATAGCCACGTAAATTACCAAATAACTATGAATATACCAGATCAGGGAAGGGGTGATGGGGAACCCACACACACTCGGACCAACGGACATAAATACTGTACAGCACAGGACCTGGAAACATGCCAGACCATAAGTACTTTGCAATTGTTGGTCTTTTCAATAACACACACGTACACTATACACGGTAATACATTTACAGTCATACAAATATCCCCCTTATCGCCTTTCAAAGACTATAGGGGCAATTGCTGAGTGGCCAGCACCACGTCTCCCTAGTGGCGATGTTTACACACCTGCACCAGGTACTCATTTGAGGCTAAGTCGACCTACGAGAGGCCCAGGACTGGTTCATATAATTGTCACGGGTGTTGGCCACGACCGAGAATCAAACTCGGGCCCCCAGGTTCATAGCACAGCGCACTAACCGGTGTGCCACCGCTCCCCACATGTACATGCACGTATATAGCAATAGATTGCTGCTGCTGTTCTTACATCGATCTTAATTAGTTCAGCAGCTAGCTGAACTTTTCAACTCACCAGACAAGGGTTCCCCCTTTTTTTATCACACACGTAAACGGCCTGTCCTATGGCATGGCTACCTAACACTCAGCTGACACTCACCTGACCGTTGCAACGGATTCACCAGTCACCTGACACCGCTCGCAGTCATCACCTCACGTGACCCTCCCCACTCAAGCGTTTGGGCAACATAGCGGAATTCCCATTGAGATTCAACGTCAAAATGTTAAGAGCAGGTAGGCGGCGCATTGGCAAATGATACAAAATTATCAGATCAAAGGTCATTTTTTTTTATATCTGATCTCGTGCAAAGACACTACAAAGCACAAGCTTTCAAATGATTCCTCAGTCATTGCAAGTTCGTAGCACAGCCTAGCACAGGTTCTCCAGAAAAAAACGCGCAAGCAGGCTCCCCACCCCCCCCCCCCCCCCCCCTTTTTAATACAGCTAACGAAACGTAACCAATTGTCACCCTCAAATACGATTCAAGTGTGTTCACACAGATTGCGTGTGCTGCGTCGTTCTTACGGGCTCAACGTCGAGGAAGGTCTCGTGCTTGGCCTTGTCAGGATGCATCCCTCCGATGGCATCCACGTACGCGGGATCCGCCTCGTAAAAATGCGGCGACGACAGGAAGATGGGAGCCCCTGTGCCGCAAGGCGACAGGCAGACTGGACAGTTGCCACCGGTACACGCGTAACTAACTTTTTTTCATTTTACCGGTTAAGGCCCACTGAGCTACATAGTTCTTTTACAGAAGCGACCTGGCCACAAATGATCGCGTGGAAATTTATTGCAGCCAAACACCCCAAAACGCACGTCGATTCTAAATGTGGAGGGGGACCTGGAGAAGACTCCACCCGATCACGGGGAGAACATGCAAACTTCAAATATATAGGCGTCAGGGTCGGGATCGATTCCACGACCTCCTATATACCTGGCGAGGTAGTTAACATCTCGCCACCGCAGCCACCTGAATATAGTTGGAAATCCTTCATTTAAAGATTAAACCAAATGTGAACTTGCTAGCTCATTTAAATTGCCAAGTTGGGCGCATACCTTAGTGAAGTCGATCAACAGATAATGTGTGGTGGGCTAAATAAGTGGGTACTCCCACCTCCTGCAAGATATATGTACAGTGTGGGAGAGTTGGTGAAACAGATTCACGAGGGTCTCTCTCGAGCTCCCTCTTTCTGCCTGCAGTGGTGTGAGCAAGCAAATGGACGGTTGCACCTTTACCTATTACCACAGGATTTCACGTGTAAATTGTATTTTCACGTGTAAGGGGGGAATGTCCATGCAGATTCATTAATACATTTCGAGTCGCCAGTAGGGATCAATATTTCTCAATCCAAATACTATTGCAGTGGGTTCAGGTATCTCCTGCAGCCACTAGAGGCACTACCATTCACCACAATGTTTCATAAAAAAATATGATTCTTAAATTGATACCCGACCCCGAGTAGAACAGAGATCATTTATCAACTCTGGGGAGGATGGGGTGAGGGGGGAGGGGGAGTGAAACGTCCAACGTCTATGACATATATGCATTTGGAATCTGTTATTTGCATATTCATTTGAATCTACTTATAACCGACAATTTTGTTTCATGTCTGCATTTTCTCCTTTGAGTAACATTGACTGATGTGCAATTCAATATTTTGCCTTCGGTCTACCTAAAAAAAACCTGCCATTAATAATGTATGTGTTGAATTTCTTTCACACTATACATAGCCAACCGTACTTACAATCAGTCTCAATGGCGTCTTAACAGGTTATAAATTAAGTCAACCGATATTATTTTAAACCATATGCATTGCAGCATAATCAAGGTTAAGCTTCGATTCATTTTTTTGCTCAGGATTGGTTATGAAAGTCATTAGTTCGCGTTGCAAGCGAGTTCTTGGTATAATCATTAATAAGGTGTTCGATTTCGAAAACAAATATCAGCAACGTGCGCCACAGCAATGAGAAACAAAGAAGAAAAGGAATGTGTACACATGGGTGCTGGAATGCTTCCCAACTTGTGCTTGTCTTCGGGGAGTATTTACCGAGCGACAATAGGATTACATTCTATGCGGCACAACGGCCAAATCGATCGTTTGATCGAAGGGCAACGCTTCGACCAATGTGGCCGGTTTGCCATTGGGTAAGTCCTGAATAGCAACAAGATTTTATTGTAAACTAATATTTGTATTGGAAGACCTTTAGGGGAATTACAACGGCCCCCCCTGCTACAGACAGACAGGCGGAGAGAGCTAATGCATTGACACCAGCAACCTTATTTGGAAAGCATAAAAAAATCAACAAGATTACATTTAATTGTGGATTCTCTAAATTGCAAATGAAAGATATTTTCGACCACCAATATCATCGATCCACTCTGTGGGCACCCATTGCAGATGTGCACGTCGATTCTTCTTGTCGGAGCACCTCGTTTGTCAGCCAGCGACGTAACAAATTCCCCATTAAGTGCCTAGATCTGTCTCTCGAAGTCCTCGCACGCAGGCTGTCCTTTATTAAAATATGCTAAAGCAACAGCGTGCTGTGGTCATTGCATCGATACTCTGAACTTCTCGTCCAAAGAGACTCATTAAAAGGGCATTAACAACAACTATCGATGGCTGGACAATGGATTTCTTTAAAATCAGGCAAGTGAGATGAACAACGCGCCACCTTCACTTGAGCCAGGTGCAGTCAACACAAACGCAGCCGGGTAGAAGCAAAGTCTCTGGCGTCCCCTGCTGGACGCACTCAGTATTAGTCAAACGGTTACAGTGTAATCTAGATTTGAAGTTTTCGTGACTGCAGGGATCCACATACTCTTTGGTTCTTTCGGTAAAGTCACGTAGGTATCAAATAAATTAAATCACGACGTTTCGGGTGCAACACAGGTGCCCGTCATCAGGTGGAAACAACCACAGCAAGAAACAATTGCTGAGGTGGGCGATTTTAGTTTTTGCCCACTTCAGCATTTTTTTCTTGCTGTGGTTGTTTCCACCTGGTGACGGGCACGCGTAGTTGCGCCCGAAACGTCGTGATTTAATTTATTTTCTACCTACGTGACTTTACCGAAAGAACCAAAGCGTACGGTTACAGTGTAGGTTTTTTTACCCTTTTCTTCTGGCAACAAAACAGCTGTGTTAAGATGTTAAAACACCAAACTGAAACCTTTTACGAGGAATCATGTCTGCGTTAACCACAATGCTCGTGGCCAGCATGCAAACAAAAACACACTGATACTAGTGAGGGAAAAAAGTATTTGATCCCCTGCTGATTTTGTACGTTTGCCCACTGACAAAGATATGATCAGTCTATAATTTTAATGGTAGGTTTATTTGAACAGTGAGAGACAGAATAACAACACAAAAATCCAGAAAAACGCATGTCAAAAATGTTATAAATTGATTTGCATTTTAATGAGGGAATAAGTATTTGACCCCCTCTCAATCAGAAAGATTTCTGGCTCTCAGGTGTCTTTTATAAGGTAACGAGCTGATATTAGGAGCACACTCTTGAAGGGAGTGCTCCTAATCTCAGCTTGTTACCTGTATAAAAGACACCTGTCCACAGAAGCAACCAATCAGATTCCAAACTCTCCACCATGGCCAAGACCAAAGAGCTCTCCAAGGATGTCAGGGACAAGATTGTAGACCTACACAAGGCTGGAATGGGCTACAAGACCATTGCCAAGCAGCTTGGTGAGAAGGTGACAACAGTTGGTGCGATTATTCGCAAATGGAAGAAACACAAAAGAACTGTCAATCTCCCTCGGCCTGGGGCTCCATGCAAGATCTCACCTCGTGGAGTTGCAATGATCATGAGAACGGTGAGGAATCAGCCCAGAACTACACGGGAGGAACCTGACAATGATCAAGGCAGCTGGGACCATAGTCACCAAGAAAACAATTGGTAACACACTACGCCGTGAAGGACTGAAATCCTGCAGCGCCCGCAAGGTCCCCCTGCTCAAGAAAGCACATATACATGCCCGTCTGAAGTTTAACAATGAACATCTGAATGATTCAGAGGACAACTGGGTGAAAGTGTGGTGGTCAGATGAGACCAAAATGGAGCTCTTTGGCATCAACTCAACTCGCCGTGTTTGGAGGAGGAATGCTGCCTATGACCCCAAGAACACCATCCCCACCGTCAAACATGGAGGTGGAAACATGCTTTGGGGGTGTTTTTCTGCTAAGGGGACAGGACAACTTCACCGCATCAAAGGGACGATAGACGGGGCCATGTACCGTCAAATCTTGGGTGAGAACCTCCTTCCCTCAGCCAGGGCATTGAAAATGGGTCGTGGATAGGTATTCCAGCATGACAATGACCCAAAACACACGGCCAAGGCAACAAAGGAGTGGCTCAAGAAGAAGCACATTAAGGTCCTGGAGTGGCCTAGCCAGTCTTCAGACCTTAATCCCATAGAAAATCTGTGGAGGGAGCTGAAGGTTCGAGTTGCCAAACGTCAGCCTCGAAACCTTAATGACTTGGAGAAGATCTGCAAAGAGGAGTGGGACAAAATCCCTCCTGAGATGTGTGCAAACCTGGTGGCCAACTACAAGAAACGTCTGACCTCTGTGATTGCCAACAAGGGTTTTGCCACCAAGTACTTAGTCATGTTTTGCAGAGGGGTCAAATACTTATTTCCCTCATTAAAATGCAAATCAATTTATAACATTTTTGACATGCGTTTTTCTGGATTTTTTGGTTTTTATTCTGTCTCTCACTGTTCAAATAAACCTACCATTAAAATTATAGACTGATCATTTCTTTGTCAGTGGGTAAACGTACAAAATCAGCAGGGGATCAAATACTTTTTTCCCTCACTGTATATGCATTGTCCTTGAAACTGATTGGTCCACACCAGAGAACGCTAATGCAGACAGTTTGGCGTTTTAACATCTTAACACCTGTTTTGTTGCCAGAAAAAAAGGGAAAAAACCTATTATCATATTTTGGTACTGGCAAAGGAGGTCCCATGATGGGTACAGTGTAGTTGTGTTGAGCGTGTGCGAACCAGGGCTGGCGCGATAAGGCGATATGATATATCGTACGATATAATCGTTCCTACGTTTTGCCAAGCGTCGTAATTTTTCACGATTATCGTTGCTCATTTTATGCCTATAAATCATTTCTGAATTTCTCCAACAACAATGAATGATATAAAATATGCATTCATATTATGAAGCAGAGCAAAGTAGAAAAACTACCAAAAGAAAAATGCCCAATACAAATACAACTTAGCTGTGGGAAAATTACAGCGCGATGATCGCCACATCAGAAACTGATGCGGGCATCACCAAAAATTATACGGCGGCAACCAGAGTGGCATCGCAGGTGGTCGACGGGCATCAGCTGACCTTGCTTGCAGACGCTGATGTTCAGGACACCCGAGCCGGGGCAGTGGGAGGGCGTCGTGCAAAAGCCGTGGTTGGCGGTAGAGTTGGCGAAGACGCTGGCCGGAGTGGTGAACCTGTAGGTGCTCAGCGCCTTGACGGACAGCTCTTTTTCGAAGGAAACGTAAATGGACCTGAAGGGGAAATGCACATCGCGCACGAGTCGGATGAAATGTAAAAATACGAGTGTCAATCGCGTTAATGTAGAATATTTGTGTTGTTTGTAGAGAGATTTGATGGGAGAAAAAAAACACAAGTCCGGATTAGACACTGGCAGAAGGCAAACGGAGCAGAAAAGATGATCACATGACATCACAGAGCTTGGAGGCCACTACGAGACAGGAACATGGAAGGCATGGAAGAAAATGGGGGAGGCCTTTATCCACAATGGGACGTTACAGGATAACAACATGTCTGCTGACTCAAGTATGTCACAATCAGAATCTTTAATTAGACTGTAAGAATCCGATGAACTATTAAGCTCTTTTTCACAGATGTCCAGTATTTTCAAAGATGTCCAGGATGTTAGTACTTATTCAGAAGTTTTGGAACACCCATTGCTGGAAGCAGAAATAACCTGGCTGAGAAGGATCATGGCAATACCGATACTACAAAAGGAAATGAGACGAAAGGAAAGAGCTGGGCCAGCAACAGACTTGAGTGCACCACGCTGATCAATACCGGTCAAGTATATATGTATGTTGAACTTATGTCGCACCGCACTCACCCAACAGTGCTAATCGGAGATGCGGCTAATCGGAGGTCAGCGCGATTGAAAGGCGGAAGGTGAACGTGGGAGCGGAAAAAAATATAGCACAATAAAGAGTTTAGCTTCAGTGCCCTCTGCTGCCCATCACCAAGCCCTGAAGTCTTTAATGACCTGATGGGCATGGAGCTCACCCATTCAAGCACTGTCCAGGCTCAAGCCTGCTTAGTTTCTGAGAACTGACAGGCACATTCTAGGCGATTTGGTCACAGACACAAGCAATTCAAGGTCGATTTTGTTCGTGTTTAGAAAACTGTTTTATTGATTTATTTATACAACCCGGTACTTGGTGATAATGATGATGGCCACAATCATTATCGTTATTGTGAAGATAATCATGATAATTCTTATGATTATCTCTTTGCAATCTTTCGGAAACAAACGTGGACCCATGTGAGTACACTTACCTACAGAGGTCGGAGGAGAAGAGGTAGAGGATGTCATTTTTGTTGATCAGGGGATGGAAAGTGGATCCGTCCGTGCCGTTAATCTTGTTACACGAGTCGGTGGTCCACCAGTTCAGCGAGCTGTGAGGGAAAGAGCAGCGATAATTTTTTTTTGGTAAAAATGTTTCTTTTAATGCGCACGCTTCAATTTGCACAAAAAAATATAAAATAAAAATGTTTGACCCAAGAATTAATAAACTTTGCTTTTCTGAATAAGAGTGGGTGGTTTCCTTTCGATGTAATTTTTTTCACTTGTATTTAGAACATCAATTTGGTTAATTCTGGGGTAAAAATAATTTATTTTCTATTTTTGAGCACAAATAAAAGTGTGCGCATTTCAAAACTTGCTTTTACCATTTTTTAAAATTCTAATTTAATTTTGTACATATTCATTCAAAGATCTCAATCCAGAGAATAACAAGTTCATTATTGTTTGGATAATTGCCATATTTTAAACAGTGCAATAAAAAAAACATTATTTAAAAAACACCAAGAGGCCGAGGATCGTCGGGATCCGGATGGATTCTTTAAGCAAATTCTTGAACGGACACGCGAGACGACGAGACTGTGTACTAAATGTCAGCTCATCAGGCTTCGTAGTTAAACACGTAGGCTTTGGTGACCAATATTATTCATAATAAAGGTTTTTCGGTTAGATCGCAAAAGTATAAATGCGTCCTAACCCTCCACCGCCGGACAAAGCCAGTAAGGTTTGTGATGTAAACAACGCGCCAATTAGTTACTACTTCAGCCCACCGGTGTGTTGGGAGAGAACATCCACAACATTTACGACGTTTCACTGGTAATTACATCCAGCATCATCGGGCGTCAAGGATTTGAAAGAATATAAACAGACAACAGGGCAAGTTAAATAAAAGTGCGTAAAATAAATCGAGAGCAAACAGACCCGTCAAGTCCAGAACACGGTGTAATACTGCATGTCAATATTAACAATTCTCCTCCTCGCGGTACGATGAATCGTCATGATGAAAGGTCGTGATTTCGACTCATTAACAAAATATTTTTTTGTTGTTGGGTTATTGCGGTGAACGGAGGGGTTTATGTGAACCAATTACATACAATGTACATGAACTGAAAACAATGGATTCTTAAACGCACTTTGATTTATCGCGAGCATCAATAAAATGATGAAGATTTCCCTTCAGGGGCGTCCTGCATTGGCAAGTTTGGATATTTCCATCAATGAGTGTTTTTGTTAGTTCGAGGCAACTGGCGTAGCTGAACAAAGGTCACGCACACACAGGGGTGACATCCAAAGCTCTACACACACACAGATTTAAGAATCTATAGCCGTGCTGCTATTTTCTGACTGCCTCACAAGCCCAAGCTTACAATACCTTGGTATTCCCAGTCTTCCATCCAAGTTCTAAACGGGCTCAAAACATAAATGGCGTCTGCGACCCCATTGAGATCGGGTGCATTCAGAGTGATTTGGGAGGCTTACCTTTCTCCTTTCCACAGAGCGATCTTTGCAAAATCTGTCGACTTATTCTGTCCCGTGTGAAAGAGGTAAACGCCATCAGCAGAGCCATTCATCTAAAAGGAGAGAACCACTTTAGCACAGCTACACCATGGCAGTAAATAAATAAAAGGTCGTGAATCATCGAGTTTATGACAGGTCACCATCCTTTTTAAAAGTCTTTTAAATCATTTGTTTTAAGTTTTAGACTGCTTGTACAAACTAAAATGGCATTGCATAGTCAAAATAATACTAATAAAAGTTAACTAAATTAAATATGTACGTATATTGAACTTTTTTCGCAGCGTACGTAGCCAACCATGCATGCTAATTGGAGGTGTAGAATACTGCCACGGGAGAATGGTTAGTACACTGGACTTACCATCCAGAGATCACCATTTCTACCTGCTGGCCTGTCAACTCGGCAAGGTAAATGGGTGCACCAGTCAATCGGCAGGTCGCGTGCGATGGGTAATCGTATTGGTACTTCCACATCTTCCAAGACATGGAAGAGTAGGCCAACATATGGTAGGAAGAGTAGGCCAACATATGGTAGGGATATCCTCTACAGCTCGTGGCAAGTCGAGGCCCTTCCAACAGCAGTGGCATGAGCAAGTAATTGCAGGGCTGCACCTTTGCCTTATTTTACCTATTATATTAACCCTTTACCGTTCTGAGACATTTGCTGGGTCCCGTTCACTGCCAATTCTCCGGAACGCGCAAGCGGTTAGCGTTCATTTTATTCAAAGGCATAGCAGCGCTGCTGTTTTTAAAGACATTGTACTCACCGCAGAGATCTGTAGTGACACGACCGCACTCTACAATAGATGGCGCCAAAACAGGGCCACACGCCCTCTCGCATGGTCTCTTTTACTTCGGATTCCATTCCGATGACGTATGACGTACACGTACAACATCAGAACGAAAACTGATGATGTACACGTACGTCATCGGAACGGAACGGGAAAGGGTTGAATACACCATCTCGCTCAGTGTAAGCACACGGCTTACCCCGTAGAAAAGCCCGAAGTTTGGGTTGACACTGTCCAAAAACTTGTGGATCTGGGCAAGGATGGGGTCCTCGTATCCCCAAAGCAGCTCGTGGACGGTGCGAGACTGAAACAGCGTCTCCTTGTGCATTATGGCCACCACGGTAAGGATTATGTCCAGCCACTTCTGTGGTAGGAAACTGTGCCTGACCATCTCCACCAAAGTCTGCAAGGGAACCACGTCACACGCACGCACAAACAGAAACACGAAAAAGCTCTCCCACGTATCCTTCAAGGACTGCTGCTGTAACGAGTGCTTTGCGCAAGGAGCTATTAAGGCTGGAATGCAACACAAGGGGGAGAAATAATGTGGCAAGTAGCCCACGCCTGACTGCCTTCGTCTCCCCGGTGCTGATGTTGACTCGCTGCATCACGTGCTCATTTTGATGCAGAGTTAACCTTGGGGAGGAGGCCATAAACTGGTTGCGATAAGCACTCATCAATGATGTTAACGTGGATGGTGATCAAAAACCTTGTAATCATTCTTGTCCATCACGAGACTGTCACTGTTGCCATCCAGTGGTTGTATAATATCATAATCCATTCTTAGGAAAGTCACAGTACAGGGACTCCTCTACTTACGAACGAGTTAGGTTCCAGAGGTCTGTTTAACACGTAGGCTTTCGCAACCAATAATATACATAACGGTTTTTGGTTAGATCGCATAAGTATAAATGCGTCGTAACCCTCCACCATCCGACACAGCCAGTAAGGTTTGTGACGTAAACAACGCGCCAATTAGTTACTACTTCAGCCCACCGGTGCGTTGGAGAGTACTCAAATTGTAAATGCTGTGGATTTACTCTCCAACACACCCCGGTGGGCTGAAGTAGTGACTTACTGGCACGTTATTTACGTGACAAACCTTACTAGCTGTCGGGTGGTGGCGGATTACGACACATTTATACTTACACAATCTAACCCAAAAACCTTTATTCCAAAGGTCTGTTTGTAAGTCGATTTGTTCATAAGTCCAACTTAACTCCTGTCGATTCCAAACATAGTGTATGGCATGTACACTAAACATGGGAAAAGGCTTTAAAAGTTGTATAAGCTCCTGTAAATGTAGATGCCACTGGTTCTTCATGTTCTGCAGATGTAGACGCCACCACCGCCAGCTACTGCGTGGCGGTTGAATGTATGACTGTCGGTCCGAACAGGCAACTGGACATACGTACAGGTTAGTTCGAAACTCTGAAAGTTTCGTAAGTCGAATGCTCGTAAGTAGAGTAGTCTCTGTAGTATTGATCTAGTTCAAATGTCATATGGTGGTACATAGCTCATCGTCAATACCATACTCTCCTAGGTTCCGTCCGGTGAGAATGAACCAAAACTCGACTCTGTATAAAGAAGAAAGTTACTCAAGTGTATGAAGAAAGTTACTCAAGTGCTGTGCCTGACAATTAAACTGTGTAAAAAATATAGAAAACAATGACAGCAGTATTTCTATGCAGAAATAAAATATGAACACTCGACTTTTAATTTAAAGCTTTTGTGACTGCAGGGATTCATATTCTTGGTTATTTCGGTAAAGTCATGTAGAAGGGAAACAATAAAATAATGTTTTAGATTTTTATTATTTTGTTTCCCTTCTACGTGACATTACCAAAAGAACCAAGAATACACTCGGCTTTGTTAAAGAAGCAGCATTATTTAGATCACTGGTATCACGATTCACATTTCGACCAGAAAAAATGCTGTTTATTGAATAATATATATTTTCTACAACATAGATAGAATCAATAGTTTATACATCCAAAAACCTATCACAGATAAACAATGGTATTTTATATATTTTTTTCAACAAAAAAATTAGAGAAAAGAGATATAATGAGAAAGAGTAAATGGGTTAAATGTGACAAATTCCATTCATAGCTGGTTTCTAATCAGGACTTTGTACATCAAACACGTAAATGGATGAGAAAACCAATTATCTGTACATAGCGCATAAATCATAGCACACCTATGTCGGTGAACTGTTAAGAAAAATAATTATGTTTTGGAAACAATAGGCCTCTCAGCTTATATGTAAAAGCATATACAAGCAGAACTCTGCTCTGTCTGCTCAAAAATGTTGAAGTCCATCAGCCTATTGAATAAATAAGTCCATCATCCTATTGAAAAATGGCCAATTTTAAATATTATTTTTCTCCTACTTCTCAATAGTAACTGAGTGCACACTTATTAAAATCACATTAAAGGATTAAGATAAACTTCATAAGACAAGTCTGGGAAACCAGTTATATAAATGATAGCATAATATATGCGTGTTGAAACTTTGCCGGGACAAAAATTCGAGAATTTGTCTTACCATGAGTGGAATGTTGACGGTGGTGATTTTGTCTGTCATTGGGTCTCCCACAGACTGCTCAGGAACCAGCACGTACGACTTTGGCAAAGTGGCTGAAACTGTGTGATTTTCGTAGAACACAATATCTTGCCTGATCCGCATTTCCCTAATCACACACACACACAACACACAAAAACAAATTGACATTCGTGAGTGTCCTTCGCAAAGAAAAAGGTGGTCGGATATGTTTCGTTTGTTATTATTTTAAACACGTAGTTAACATTTTTATATGTCCGCAAGACGGACATGTGTATGTACGGGTCGGTCAGAAAACAGCGATTGGCTTGCTCGTCGTATTCAATAAAGCTTCATTACAGTGGTAGTGACAATGACATTTAACAGGTATTTAAATTTGCCTGCAGTATTCCTTCAATGGGGAAGTGTTGCAGGGTGTGTAAGGTAGGATGAACAGGTCGGTTAAATTTGGTGCCGAAAAGTGGCTGTGCTTCGACCAAGCATGACATTGCTATTCCATGGCTGTCGAAGTTTCATGACACAGGAAATCACGGTCTCTCTCACTCAGCCGTCCCCGGACGGCTCGCATTAACGCACTAACACACGCTGAAGCACAATTGATCACACCTCGCTGACCCAAACAAATTGTGCGTTAACGATACAATGATTATCGACGATACGTCACGTGCCACTGACCGGTAGGTGTAGGGCCCACGCTCTTGCACTAGTGGCTTCTCCCCAGCGAGCACCTCCTTGGGATTCACCAAGTGAAATAAGGTGAAGCTCAAGTAGATGTCTGCTGGGGGGTTCTTCCAGTTTTCGTAAACCGTCGAGTTCAGCTTCAGAACCACTTGCTGCAAGTTAACAGTTTGCACGCGGCACACAGCGAACATGTACACTTCTGTAAACTTTATAATAAACGTTGATATGGCTGTCATAAACAAATAAAGGCAGTCAACGTTTTACAACGGTCCAAAAAATGACGGTCCACATTTACGACCGATTTTAAGACGCAGAAACTTGATTTATGACGCATCTTCCGATATGACTCAGAACACATTTGAACAGAGTCAATCTAGTGTCCGATATGACTTGGCGTGGAGTTATTATTCTCAAGTGTAATAGTGCATTTTTACCTTTTAAACCCTGTTAAATATGGTCGATAAAAGGAAAAACACACCAACAAGTGATGTTTCCACTGTTTCCACCGTATTTTGGAAAACAGGGTCTGGACCGCATGTACTGTACGTGGCTCATGCCCCACGCAGTGCCCATTGCGACAATAAAGAGTGGGGTAAACGGTCCGATAAATTACAGTCCACAATTACGACCGATTTTAAGGCGTAGAAACTTGATTTATGACGCATCTTCCGATATGACTCCGAACACATTTGAACAGAGTCAATCTAGTGTCCGATGTGACTTGGCGTGGAGTTATTATTCACGCCACTTCCTGTCCACGCCACAGCTGGCAGAAGGGCCGCCTCACGAGAGGAAGCACTACAGAGTACCTCTAGAGCAGAGGTCAGCAACCAAAATAACAAGAGCCTTTTTTCGTCAAATTCGGTATTAAAAAAACCCTCAATATTCCAAGACTTCATCGGGAAGCCCCTGGAACCCGCTAGTGGGTTCAAGAAGGGAGGCGCGGCCAGAGCAGAGCCAGGCCGTGCCGAGTAGAATAAAAGCAGCGGAGAGCGAGAGCTCCGGGCTGCCGGTTCTGGGAGTGGACTCGTCTTGCCGCCGCAGTTGTCATCTTCGCTGCCTTCGTCGCTGCCGCCTTCACGCGATAGTTGTTTGGCCGGAGAGTTGTTGGTTGTCTCGGTCAACGCCGTCGGTGCAACGCGGTTAGAGTTGTCTAAGCTGGGCTGTATGGCAACGGGAGCGTGAAGGAGGCGATCCTGGGTGTGAACGGCTGAAAGGTGTTACAATAAAAGGTGCCTGCTGCAACGACCTCGTCTCCGACTTATGCTACACTACATATGGATTGATACACCCCTAGCCACAGGAACGTGGAATGCCCACCACCAGCTCTACGCTGTAAAGAGGAGGAAATAAGCACCGTCACAATGCTCATTTGAGCGAGCAAAAAAAATAATCCTGAATTAAACTTTCGACTTGTATATTAGACCCTTTAACGGTGCTGTTTGTTGCTGGCCACTTGACGTTTTTGGGTCTTGTCTTAGCAAACCGTGATTTATAACAAAACAAGAAGAGAGACTGGCTACTGATGATGATGGCGATGATGATGACCAGCCTGGTGATGGCGCTCACCTCCTTCACCATGCTGTGGGCTAGATTGGGGAAGACATCGAGCGCGAAGAGGATGACCCAGGTAATGCCGATGCAGACGGCAGCGGTGCCAGCACAGATGGATCCTTTCCCGCACCACATGGCGGGCGACCACCACACCAGCTGTGTGTGGCAGACCAGAGGGACCAGGCACAATTCAGTTTTTTTTTAACGAACGTGCTGGGTTGTCTTCCCCCTGCCCAGCGGTATATACCATTAGTCATCATGTGCATGACCTGCATAGCTGTGCTACGTGCCAATAATATGACAGTTAGCCACCCGCCCTCCTTTTGCAATAGACAAAGGTCAACCCCCCTCTGTAAAAACAATCTAGTAACCCAAACAAGCAAAATGATGTGAGGCAGAGCAAACGACATTTGTTCTCCTTCCTCCATACCTCCGAGTAGCACGGTTGGCTACGTACGGTGCGAAAGAAGTTCAACATACATACATGGGGGGGGGGGTGTGGTGCGTACTCCACGCCTAACTGCCTTTGTCTCCCCAGTGCTGATGTTGACTCACTGCATCAGGTGCTCATTTTGATGCAGAGTTAACCTTGGGGGAAGGCCAGAAAGTAAACTATATTTGTTTTACCAGGTAGGGCCCACTCAGCTGCATAGCTATTTTTCAGACACGACCTGGCCACAAATTACAGTGGCTTATCATGCGGAATTGTATAGCAGCCAAATACAGTTGTCCCTCACTATAACGCGGTTCACCTTTCGCGGCCTCGCTGTTTCGCGGATTTTTTTTAGTGTAATTTTGCATGCTTTTTTTTCCTGCGTACAGTATGAACGCGCATTGTGTTCGGCGTCCTGATTGGCTAAGGGAGAACCGCACATGTGTTCTGCGTCCCGATTAGCTAAGGGAGTACAGAATGCGTTCGGCTAGCCAGATTTACAAAAATGTTTGGGCTTGAAAACAGGTTTTGATCTTTGATTTCATTTACTAATATTGTACTTATTTTTTTTAAATGTGCGAAAGTTTGAACTTTGAGAGTATTTAAATAAGAGAGAAATGTGAGAAAATGTTAATGCCTGTCTGAGAAAAATGTATAAAAGTGTGTGGTTAGGGGTTTTACGGCCTTAAAACATGTATAATAATTGTAAAAAATAAAGCTGATTACTTCGCGGATTTCGTCTATTGCGGGTTATTTTTAGAACGTATCCCCCGACGATAAACGAGGGACCACTGTACTCTAAGCGCGTGATGTTTATTCTAAATGTAGAGGGAAAACCAGAGGACCCGGAGAAAACCCCACACAATAACGGGGGGAGAGAGAGAGATGCAAACACCAAATATACAGCAGCAGGCGTCAGGGTCGGTATCGAACCCACAACCTCCTGCATACCAGGCAAAGTAGTGAACATCTCATCACTGATCTAAGCAAGGGATGGGAATACACCCAAGGCCCTCGGATCGGTCGCGCGGCACAACAACCACCATGCCACCACAAAGATACAGATCCCCTTTAATACCGTTTCACAAACAAGTTCGGGCGAGCTCTGTAAGCGAGTAGCCGCAAGCGCCTATGGAGGCCGACACGGCACAACGAGGGGGGTGGGTGGGTGGCCGTCACACAATGCCCGGTCGCCAAGGAGGAGACGTCCACCTGGGGAGATGGAGCGATGTGAATCACGTGCTGGTGCGCTCGTCGTTCTGCCCGGGTGGACGAGTCAAAGACATCGTGAGATCGAGCTGGCGGTGGCGGCGGTTTGAGGGCCCCCTCCATCCGGCAGTGGATTTTGCATACCTGTCAACCCCTTTATCAGTGCCTTACCTTATTACAGACCAATTCAGACATTATTGGTCACGCTGTAGCCTTATAAATCTCAACGTTCATCCTAAAAAGTCCCATCACAAGGGCGAAACACAAACAAATGGAAAACAAATGGAAAAATATAAAAAAAAATGTTGTCCATATTGAATGAAACGGCTGTACACGCCACATGGACCTGAAACCGTACGAGTTGACAGGTATGGGATTATGAAAAAATAAGAATAGGTTTTACCCTTATTGGCAATAAGATGTTCAAACACCAAATAGTAAGCCTTTTGTAAGGGAATCAAGTTCGCATATTCACCACACCTACTTGTGATTGTGAACATGCACAACCACAAGTTCTGTTTGTGGTTAATGCGAACTTAGTACCTTCCAAAAGGTTTCTAATTGCCGCTTGAACATCTTAACGCTTCCTGCTTGATTGGCAATAAGGGTAAACCCTATTGTTATATTTTCAGATATGGGATTGACCACCATACACACGGCAGCGAAACGACACGACGCTAGGCTACGCGCATTTCACTCGCCGTGTAATATTAGTTGTGTGATTGGGGGGGGGGGACAGCGGTTCCGGACCTCCCCTAGGTCGACTCAGCCTCAAACGAGTAACCTGGTGCAGGTGTGTAGCGAGGTGCTGCTGGTGGCCACGACCACGGTGCCGGTCTTCATAGGCTACTGCTGCTCGCTAACAGCACTTGCCCCCAACAGTATGTGAAGGCTTATACGGTGGCGAGGTAAATTCTGTATCTCTTTGTAACACAGTTAAAGAGGCTCGCAGATTATAACAGCACAGCGTTCGAAGCGTGCGGAGACGCAAAGCTTAGAGGGGGGGCGGGGGGGAGAATCTTGATTTGAAGCTTTCGTGACTGCAGGAATCCATGCTCTTTGGTTATTTCTGTAAAGTCACGTAGGTAGAAAATAAAAATAAATCACGACGTTTCGGGCGCAACACAAGCGTCCGTCATCAGGTGGATAAAACATAGTCTGATTTCGATTTAAAACTTTCGTGACTGCAGGGAATTCATCTTCATGGTTCTTTCGGTAAAGTCACGTAGAAGGGAAATAATAAAATAATTTAATAAAACATGATAAAATATTATTGTTTTGGTACCAAACACTTGAGGGAGGGGGGGGGGGGCCTCAAGTGTTTGGTACCAATGCGAACGCAACGGTGGCTGGGACTTTCTTTAGGTGGCGAAGGCAGTAATCTCTCTCTCTCTGCACGTGTTGCACACAATGCATCACCCCCCCCCCCCCAATCGCCCTTTAAACACAACAGTTGGGGGGCCACCTATGAAGGTTACCGGCACTGTGATACACGAGAGGGGGGGCGGGTTGGTGGCCAACACCACGCCCGGCCGCCTTTGTCTCCCCCCCAGTGGCGGTGTTCGCGACACACCGCGCCAGGTGAACTGGTTCGAGGCCGAGTCGACCTAGGGGATGAGGCCCCAGGCCCGGTGCAAGACGATCGCTCGCCGGATTGCCGGTGGCCGAGGTACCGTGTCGCTCGCCGCTGCCGCTACGACTGCCGCTCCCCACGCACACGGCGAGACGAGACGAGGTCGTCGGCGTCGTCAGTCGTAAAGGCAACGAGAGAAAATTTACGGAAGTTGCAGCCAGATGTTGCAACATCGCATTTGCTAACCCCAACTTTACATCACCACCAAACACCACAGATTCTCGAGCAGGACTGGCTTAGGTTAAGCGCCACAACACAAGACGAGCGGCACTGAAACTCGCCTCCGAATGTGTTCCTCACGGACGACAACAACAACAAACATACTTGCAATTATCTTTTTTTCTCTTGTTTGCTCGGATGAAAGTCGTTGATGTTCATCCGCTGTCAGCCAACACCGTGTTTTAGTTGTTTTTGTTTGTGTGTGTGTGCGCGTGTGTGCTAAACGTAGCCCAACACTTGCTCGGAGGAAGCCGTTGTGCTCTGTTGTTGTTGTTACGCAAGTTCCGTGCGTGTCACACCAAACCCCGCCGACGTCAAAACAAATGCGTGCGGCCCGCTTCTCTTTCCGGGATTTAAAACGAAATCCTCCCTTGAACTGCGCATGCGCGCGAATACGCGCGCACGCGTGTGCTCGCGCGCATGCGCAGTTCGCCTTCCCACGCAGCAAACCGATGTGGCACCCCCCGAACTCTGCCACCAGGGGGAGCAAAGTCCTGACTCGAAACCAGATGTAGGAAATAGGTTTTACCCCTTTTAACTGGAACTAAAACAACTGGCACCTTTATTCAAGACATCATGTTTGACTAGAAACCAGCTGTAGTAATAGGTTTTACACTTTTAACTGGAACTAAAAAAACTGGCACCTTAATTCAAGACATTATGTTTGACTAGAAACCAGCTGTAGGAATAGGTTTTACACTTTTAACTGGCACCAAAAAAAACTGGCACCTTTATTCAAGACATCATGTTTGACTCGAAACCAGCTGTAGGAAATAGGTTTTACCCTTTTAACTGGCACCAAAAAAAACTGGCACCTTTATTCAAGACATCATGTTTGACTAGAAACCAGCTGTAGGAATAGGTTTTACCCATTTTAACTGGCACCAAAAAAACTGACACCTTTATTCAAGGCATCATGTTTGCTAAGAATATACACAACACAAGCAGTCAAAATGCAAACAAAAAGACAACTCTGATAATAATATGCAGTCCTTGAATTTGATTGGTCCACACCCGAGACGGTTTTTCTTAGAGCCCTTAGTCTCCACTGGTGTTGAACCAGAAGACGCCAAAAGGCGTACAACTCAATAACAGCGCACTATCAGAGTATTGAGGGCTCGGGGTGAGAATTTACATTATGAGACCTCCTTTGCCAGTAACAAGATATAGTAATAGGTTTTACCCTTTTAACTGGCACAAAAAAACTGACACCTTTATTCAAGGCATCATGTTTGCAATAACCACAACACAAGCAGTCAAAATAGAAACCAGCTATGAATGCAATTTTGTCACATTTAACCCATTTACTCTTTCTCATCATATCTCTTTTCTCTAATTTCTTTGTTGAAAAAATATATATAAAGTACTGTTGTTTATCTGTGATAGGTTTTTGGATGTATAAACTATTGATTCTATCTATGTTGTAGAAAATATATATATTATTCAATAAACATAATTTTTTCTGGTCGAAATGTGAATCGTGATACCAGTGATATAAATAATGCTGCATATTTAACAAAGCCGAGTGTATTCTTGGTTCTTTCGGTAACGTCATCGCGTAGAAGGGAAACAATAAAATAATAAAAATTATAAAACAATAAAATTCTCACGACATTTATTTATTTCCTTATTTCCCTCATTAAAATGCAAATCAACTTGTAACATTTTTGACATGCGTTTTTCTGGATTTTGCTGTTGTTATTCTGTCTCTCACTGTTCAAATAAACCTACCATTAAAATTATAGACTGATCATTTTTTCGTCAGTGGGCAAACGTACAAAATCAGCAGGGGATCAAATACTTTTTTTCCCTCACTGTATATGAGAACAAAATTTGATATATACCGCGGTGGGCGACACGTTGCGCGAAAGAAGCTCAACGCACACATAACCCTGCTCCCAAACAACATCAAAAACGAATAAACAAATTTAGAAGTGTCACCAAAACAAACAAAAAAACAGTAAAAAAGTTATTAAAACAAATAAATGTGTCCATTAGGTCTACACATCCCAGACTACAATCCCAACTTCCCAACCGAGCCAGGAAACCTTCACAGCAGTGGAGTGCCGAAACTATTTTTTTAATTTTAGGGGTCGTCCATAAATGACGTCACGCACCTGGGGGGGGGGGGGTCAGACATTTGTGACGATTTGTGACGATGGGGGGGGGGGTTTGAGAAATGTGACGTCACATCAAAATGCCGCAACTTTAAGTAAATATAGACAACACGTTCTACTTAATTAAATATACTTTTAATACATGTTTTCTCCTACAACATCAGAGTGCAGCGCCACATTAAATACGCACTACAATGACAATAGTTTGAAGCGATTTGAAGCATGTTTTATTTTGGAGGGGGGGGGGGCTGAGCTTTGTGACGTCATATTTGAGGGGGGTCTGACTTTTTGTGACGCCGTGTGACGAAGGGGGGAGGGGGTAAAAAATCGTCCAATATCGCGTGACGTCATTTATGGACGGCCCCTTACCAGGTAAGGCCCACTGAGCTATATAGATATTTTTTCAGAAGCGACCAGGCCACAAATGATAGCCAAACGAAGTGGCTTGTCAGGTGGGAATTCATAGCAGCCAAATGCTCTCAACGCATGTTTCTAAATGTGGAGGGAAAAAAACGGAGGACCGGTAGAAAAATCCACTCGACCATGGGGAGAACACGAAAACTCCAAATATACAGCAGGCGTCAGGGTTGAGATCGAATCCCCGACCTCATGTTAACCAGGCGAGGTAGTTAACATCTCGCCACCGTGGCACCGTGGGCGTGATTTCGTAATCATCAATCATGGTCAGTCCACTGCTCGATTAATGCCTTTCGTCCAAAGCTGCCACCATCTCTCATAGCTTCGAGGTTGTGTTAATCCACCCATTACCTGCATGGATGCAGCCGAAAGCTTGCCAATTCAGTCGCTTTGAAACTTTAATTTTTTTTTAACGAGCACACCTACCTGCACAATTGTGTTTTGCCGCAAGTGTCGGAGAATTAATATATGCTTAAATTTATGCAGAACACACTTGGTTTAGTTCATATCATAGATGCCCATTTTCACAGACTCCCACCAGGGCCTGGTTAATGCAGGTGTTCAAGGGCCACAGCCCAAGGCCTCCGATTATTTTGGGAGGTTCCAAAATATATAAGCTGCTGTTAAGCGACTGCAATATTGTTGCACCATAATACATGCTGATCTATAATGTTCATTCTTTTAAATAATAAACACTAAAAGTAGCCAGGCTCAAATTACAGAGAAATGGGAACGACGCACGCTTTGACACTTGGTGACGTCGCTGCGGATACTTAAGCACGGTCAGATGAGGCAGAGCACTCAACTATTATGTACTAATATTATTTTACGTTTTTAAAAGGTGCAGGAGACCCTTTTTTAATCTCATTAACCGATCAAGTTCAAAGCAGTTTGAGAGAAACGTATGTGAATGTTGAATGCAATCATGAAATGTCTTATGCCGCTGGTGAGGAGCTTTATTGGTCAGAATTTGATTGCTACGTTGTTACGTATAAATATATTTGTAAACATGAAAATATTGTCGGATGGTGGACCGTTAATGACAATAATTATGGCATAAAACTACCACGTGGCCTAACCCAAAAAAAAAATTCGGGTCATTGCATGGGCTATGAAAACGTACGGATTAAGTTACAATAAGTGCTATATGTAAATTGGTCATTAAAGTCGCGTGATATAGTGGCCACTTCTTTCACAACCCAAACCAATAAGTACTGGAAATCTCCTGTCAGCTTAGTTCTGTAAAGATATGTGCAGTATACCGTGCTGTGATGGAGTGCAACACAATACCACCAGATGTCGGTACAAATCAATTCCAACAACGACCGCAAGTTGTATCTATGTTGAGCTTCTTTCCCAAACCCCCTAAAGAGCATCGCTTAGTGAATTGAAGTACTCCCAGTCATGTGCGCTAACTTTGAAAAAGGAATTGCTTGTTTTAACATGATTCATTTTTATAATTCGAATATCAAGTTCAAAAACTCAAACTGAAATGACCGAGGTGAACAAAAATGGAGTAGCATGGATGATTGTAAAATAGTAAAATGGAAAGAATTGAATACACAAAGAGTGCCTCCCAAATACCAATGCAACCAAAAGCCTCGGGGCCCCATCCATCTTCATGTATCCCTGCACCCGCCCACATTCAGACACATCCAACGCGTGCTTGCTGATTGTACACATTCCTTGTCTCACCCTCCTATTCCCCTTCACCCAGGCCACTTTATCTGAGCCTTGCAAGTGCTAATTTTACATGTGTATTTGCAGACCCATATTTGCAGACTGGCATCTGAATGTGCTGGAAGTTGGGCTGTATATTGAGTGGCGTCAGTATACATAGCCCAGATGCGACAAATGTCTTATTTATGCTTAGAGAGGCAGGGGTTCATCCGCTATGAGTCTTCAGTTCCGAGTCATATTCTTAAGCATGGTTAACATCAGTGATGAGTGACATTGAACCGTCACTCATCAGTCATCGACACTCATCAGATTATTCTGATCTCCCAACTTACACCAATCCACATTGACCAGCATGGTAAATTATGGCCAACAATCCCCATGATCAACATGGCATGAGAGGCCTTCATCCTGCAATGGATGGAGAATAAAATTGTTATAAACTAGATGATCGTCCATGCCATTCTCTCCAAACTCCCTATTGAGCTCCAGATTTATTTAAGCCTAATGTGATGGTGGGGAATATCAGACATGTTGATTTTGATCACATACAGTAGCTGTAATTGAATAAAATATTACTGGTAGGAAACGTAGTGGACTGGAAGCCCAACCGGGATTGATTCACAGGAGGCAGGGGATTAATTGTGTATGTCTGTGGATGTCTGTCCACGTGTATCCAGACACCCGGATAAAATGGGAGGGGTGGGGCTGGGTGGAGAGGGGAGGGTAGGCAGGGGCCGGGTGGGGAGGGGAGGGTGGGGAGGGGCTGGGGAGGGTGGGGAGGGTGCGGAGGGGCCGGGTGGGGAGGGTGGGGCTGGGTGGGGGGTGGGGAGGGTGGGGCTGGGTGGTGGGTGGGAGGGGTGGGGGGTGGGAGGGGTGGGGCTGGGTGGGGAGGGGCTGGTCACCCCGTGGTGCCCTTATAAAACTCAACTTTTAACCTATTAATGTCGGCTTGTGCCCGCCCTCACAGTCGGGCATATTTCCGGAATACACCACGTGCCACCATTGACCCTGGCCATTGACTGAGCAACCCAACGTTCCTACTACCAGCTCCATCCGCAGGAATGTGTTGGTGTGTCTGCCTTTGTTGTCACCTGTTATTGTTGAGTGTTCTTGGTCAGAGTATTGGCAGGAGTCTTGAGACTGAGTAAGGTCTTCCTGGGTAAACAAGCATAGTA